GCCCCCCTGCTGACCGTGGATCTGGGCTTCCAGGGGGGCTTCGAGTGGGACCACGAGGTCTCAGGCTGGCCCAGGAGCCTGGGCCTCGGGCTGACTCAAGAGCTGGCCCTGTCTCCCCACAAATGTGGAGACATTTCTGCCACCTCCTCCTCCAAAGCGCTGGACTGGGCCTCCTCCAAGCCCCAGGACGCGGTGGGTCACGTCCACTCACCCAGCCGGGTCCTCTCTGGAACAGCGTGCCCTTTGGTGACGGGGAGGATGCATTTTTGAGGTGAAATATTATATAACAGCCAGGAACGGAAAATATTAAAAGCCCACGGGTGCCAGCAAGGTTCGCACCAGGGCCAGAAAGTTCAGAAAAAGGAGGCAGGCTCCCTGCAGTGGAGGCCACGGGGTGGGGCGGGATCAGCTCGACCACCCACACCCTGGATCCCAGGCTGCCTCCGTCTTCAGGGTGAGCGGGAGCCTTGCCTGGGCCACAGGAAGGTCCCAGGGTGGTGACCCCAAGCGGAGAGCTGAAGCTGCTCAGATCCCTCATAAAGCTGGAGCAGCTGTGTCAGCCTGCCCGTCCGCGTCCCTCTCCCACTCCAGGCCTTGAGGATCATGAGGCCCGTAGGGGGAAGTGGAACATTCGGGAACCTGGGGTCAGGCTGCCTGTGGGTCTGCTCTGAGCATCCCCTGGAGGCTCCCTCAAGCAGGGCAGGCCGTTCACCCCTAGAACTGACTCAGAGCTGCCCAGGTGTCAGGAGTCATGGCTGGGCCTGCATCCTCAAGGGAGGATGTCTCAGTGTCTCAGGGCAGAGCCAGAAGCCTCACCAGACCCAGAACTCGGACTGTAGTCCCCTAGCTTCACAGCTCAGTGAGATGCCGGGGAGCCTACCGGAGGCCTAGATGTGGAGCAGCAGACCTGCGCCACCGTGGCTCTGCCCCTCCCAGCATGAATGGCCTTGGGTAAGTCCCTTACCCTCTCGGGATCTATGAATTTATGACACTGAGCCAGGTGCTGGGGACACAGAGATAAGGCACGGGCCTTGCCCTTCAGGAGCTCACAGTCAATTGAAAGAAGACAGCATTTCCAGGTGAAGCAAAGAGCTCTTCAACTCAGGGTGGGGCTAAGTGGAAAATGATGGGGCTGGGGCAGCTCAGAGGTGGGGAGTGGTGTGGGCTATAGGGCTCAGGGCATGTGTCTGCCTGTTTTGGGTAGGAGGATAAACTCCCATATTGTGCATGTAACCCTAATGCTGCCACCACACCCCAGATCCCTATCTAGCTGTAACTGCAGACCCACTGCTCCCTACTTAGGGAAGCACTGTTACTCTTTTGACTGACAGGGGCCACTGATTGGCTTAGGCTGAGCATCTGACCTAAACCCAGTCCATCCACCCACTGGCAGGTGACTGGTGAAGTGGGCTTCTTGGGAATCGTTCCACCCAATAGGGATGGAGATGGCAACTAGCTGAGCCAATCAGAATGGCTCCTGGTGGAATCTGAACTAAGCAAGTGCAGGAGGTGGACCCATGAGGAGCAAGAGGCAGGCAGAGCTACCATATAGAGAGAAGCACATACCCCACAGGAGAAACACCAGGCAGCCTGAGGGGCTGAGAGAGGGGCCTGCCTCAGCCCAGCTCTTGACTTCAGCTGTCTTTACAACAAGCCTCCATTTTTTTTCAGAATGGCCTGAGTGAGTCACCATTCTCGTTCCCTAAAGTGCATAACCAGCTAAGGAGCCCCCTCATCTCCCTGGCGTGCCAGAGAGCAGCCAACTCTCTCCTCCATCCTGTATGAGGCCACTGTGAGGAAATGGAAAGATCAGAGGGCAGGAAATTAGGAGGCCTGGCCTGGGTTCAAGCCTGACTCAAGTTCCTAAGCGTCCCCAAGAGCCAGGCCTTGGCAGAAGTCTGGTACACCTTGCACAGTGTGCTTTCTCTTTCACTGGTTATGAGCAGGCTCAAATGAAAATGACAGATAAAAGCAGCCAGAAAGGTAAAGGTAGCTGCTGCCTATTCAGGACATTCTCCCGCTGTTTGATGGGAGCTGATTAGTTGGGTGTAGAGGATTCAGAACCTCTCTGTTCAAGGGGCCTCTAGGGAGATCTGAGAGTCATCGGAGAGTAGGGGCAGTTCTGGATCCAGCAACGTGCTTGACAGTCTTAGCAGTCTCCTGGGGCAGTTCTCAGTAGACCTGTGTCTGAGTCCTAGGGAGAGCAGAAGGGCTGTAAGTAAAAGCTAAAAGAGCTGTTCCACTGAAAAGTCTGTGTCTTATTTGGGCATAAGCAGTCCTGTTTTGGGATCAGGCAAGAGAGGCATTTGTTCCTGCTGTGCTACTGACTTATGTGCATGGAGAAGGCTCTAGGGTGCTGGCATCAATGCTTTGAAGAGCCACAGTGTTAAAGAAAAAGGGGGGGGTGGTCAGTGGAGAAACGTTCCTTTCAACAAATAGTGCAGAAACAGTTGGACATCCACATGCAAAAGAGGAACCTTGATTCACAGACTTTACACCATGTGCAAAAACTAGTTAAAAATGAATCATAGACCTAAAGGTAAAACCTAAAACTCCTAGAGAAAACCTTTGTGACTGTGGGTTAGGTAAAAATTTCTTAGAGCCAACACCAAAAGCACAAATTTATAAAATAAAAAATTGATAGATTGGATTTCATTAAAATTAAGAGCTTCTGCTCTTCAAAAGACACTGTTAAGAAAATGGAAAAACAAGCTACAGACTGGGAAAAAGTATTTTCAAAACATATCTGATAGGGACTTCCCTGGTGGTCCAGTGGTTAAGATTCTTTTTTTTTTTTTTTTTAATTTATTTATTTATTTTTGCGGTACGCGGGCCTCTCACTGCCGTGGCCTCTCGCATTGCAGAGCACAGGCTCCGGACGTGCAGGCCCAGTGGCCACGGCTCACGGGCCCAGCCGCTCCGCGGCACGCGGGATCCTCCCGGACCGGGGCACGAACCCGCGTCCCCTGCATCGGCAGGCAGACTCCCAACCACTGTGCCACCAGGGAAGCCCCCAGTGGTTAAGATTCTGTGCTTCCACTGCACGGGGCCTAGGTTTGATCCCTGGTTGGGGAACTAAGATTCCACATGCCTTGTGGCCAAAAAGTAAAAAACAAAAAAACCCCATATCTGATAAAGGACTTGTATCTAGAATATATAAAGTACACTCAGATTTCAGTAATGAGAAAACAAATAACCTAATTACAAATGGGCAAAATATTTGAACAGGCACTTCATCAAAGAAGACATAGAAATGGCAAATAAGAGTATGAAAAGCTGGGGGCTTCCCTGGTGGCACAGTGGTTAAGAATCCTCCTGCCATTGCAGGGGACATGGGTTTGAGCCTTGGTCTGGGAAGATCCCACATGCCATGGAGCAACTAAGCCCGTGTGCGACAACTACTGAGCCTGTGCTCTAGAGCCCATGAGCCACAACTACTGAGCCCGCGTGCCACAACTACTGAAGCCCACGCACCTAGAGCCCGGGCTCTAGAGAACCTACCACAATGAGAAGCCACGCACCACAATGAAGAGTAGCCCCTGCTCACTGCAACCAGAGAAAAGCCCACACGCAGCAACGAAGACCCAACACAGCCAAAAATAAAATAAATAAATGTATTTTTTTAAAAATGTATGAAAAGCTGCTCAACATCATTGGTTACCAGGGAAATGCAAATTAAAACAAGACACTACACAACCATGGGAAAGGCTTAAAAACGGTCAAACATGAAACTTTAACAGTATCAAGTATTAATAAAAATGCTGAGCAGCTGGAACTCTCATGTTGCTGGTTGGAAAGTAAATGGAAAAATCACTCTGGGAAACAGTTTGAAAGTTTCTTATAAAGTTAAACATACACTTCACATATAACCTAACAGTCGCACTCCTAGATATTTACCCAAAAGAAATGAAAAACCTGTTTACACAAAAACCTGTACATAAATATCCATAGTGAAAAGGTAGTTGCTAGAAACTGGAGACAACCCAAATGTCCTTCAACTGGTGAACGGAAAAAGAAACTGTGGCACATCCATACAATAGAATATTACTCAGCAGTAAAAAGGAATGAACTATTGACACGTGCAACAGCATGGATGATTATACTAAGTGAAAGAAGGCAGACTTAAAAGGCTCTTACCAGGGACTTCCCTGGTGGTCCAAGGGTTAAGAATCCGCCTTCCAATGCAGGGGATGCGGGTTCGATCCCTGATCGGGGAACTAAGATCCCACATGCCGCGGGGCAACTAAGCCTGTGCACTGCAACAGAGCCCATGCACCACAACTAGAGAGAAGCCGGTGCACCGCAATGAAGATGCTGCATGCCACAACCAAGACCTGATGCAGCCAAATAAATAAATATTTTAAAAAAACCAACGCTCATACCAAAGGATTCCACTTGCAGGACATTCTCGAAAAGGCAAAATGACAGGGAAAGAGAACAGATCAGTGGTGGTCAGCAGCTAGGGTTGGGGGAGAGGGCTGACTACAAAGGGAGCTTCTGAGGTTATGGAAATATTTTGTATCTTGATGGTGATGGTGGTTATAAGATTGTTTGCATTTGTCAAAAATCATAGAACTTTCCACTCAAAAGGGTGACTTCTACAGAATGACAATCGTGCTCCAATTTTTAAAAATGGGAAGTGGGATTCAGATTTCTTCTTCCCTTTCTTTGCCTTCCCTGTCACTGGCCAACATTCTGTCCTCAAAGCTCTTGTTTTCCTGGGGGGAAAAATGCCCCAATTCAGCCACCCTGAACGCTGCTTTGCTTCTGGGAACAAAAAGCCAACCCACTAAGAATGGTCTGTGCAGGCCCATGTCTGTTTCTCTTCCTCTGTCCCACCCTGTCTGGCTAAGCCTGCTCACCAAGGCCCTTCTAACCTCCATTTCCCCTTCCCTGCCTGCTCATCCGGGCCATCTGGAGTCCCAAATCTTTATGGCCCAGGCTTTGTGTGGGTGAAAGATCCTGCTTGGAAAGAGATCCTTACACTCAACTTTCCACAGCTCTAGCCCATTAAACGTCCACGGGTCCCAGGGATGCACAGCCAGAGAGGACAACTACCTGGCATCCGCCTCACCTCACCCCTGACTGAGGCCACCCCCATCACGACTGCAGGCTCTTCTGGGCTGCCAGCATCGTGGTCAGAGCTGAAGCCGTACTACAACCAGAGCCACCTGGGGCCTCTCAGGGGAGTCATGAAAAGAGGCCCCGGGTCATGGGAAGCAAGCAGCAGAGTCTGGTAGATGCTTCGGGGCGAGCCTGATGAACCACCAGGGCAAACACATCCCACTGAGTGTGACTAGTCCAGGAGGGGAGTGTGAACACTCTTGCGATGACTCCCTGGTAAGTGTGCACCCAGTAATCCTGTACAAAATCATGAATGTGGGTGTCCCTGAGAAACAGCAGGGCACCGTGGGGACACTAAGATGTAAACTCAAGGCTGTGACCATGGTGAGTCACCACAGGGACAGTGAGGTGACCTTTTTTTTTTTTTAAGCTTGAAGAGCATTCTGTGATGACCACGGTGAGCACACTACGCAAGGTGGAGGGCTCTACCTGACATGTCTTGGGGGATCTGCCAGACCATGGCCCATTCTCAGGGAATCTGCTCCCACCTACAACCTGTGCGGGGTAAGCACACTCTTACAAGACCAGGTGCTGACTGTCAGGCGGCAGTGCGTGCAGCAACCCATGTGGCTTACATAGTTCTGAAGGTTTCTTTGTTTTTCTTCCATTTTCCAAGCTGGAGTTGTTATTATAGTTGCTCAGCTTTGCTCAACTCTTCTGGGATGTGTTGATGTGGTTACAGGGTGAGGGGAAGTCATACATGGGTAGGTTTGCAGCAGAACAAAGGGAGTGCAAATGCTGAGGTTGACAGGTGTTAAAGTGGTCTCTTGATATCAGGATTCAACTACTGGTATCAAGGTTAGTAGTTAGACATTTCGGGTTGACTCCTACTAGGAAAGGGGTGCTTGTGTTTGTGGTTGTGTTTTAGGTGCGTACGTGTCAGTTTTTACTTCCTAGCATCCGTTCTTCCTACTTCTGGTGACAGCACCACAATTTTCCTTTGAGAAAAATCAGTCCATGTGATTCCAGTGGGATGATCTACCCCTACCTCTGGAAGTGGGCTAATCAGAGCTTTCCACCCACATGGTTACAGGAACTGGGTCAGGAATAGGCCAATGAGAGCCTTTCCCAGGACTTCTGCTGGAACAATGGGGGAAGAGACATGGTTTTTCCATTGGAGATTTGAGATGTGCTAGAAGGGAGTCTGGAGCTTCTGGAAGATAATACATGGGAATGGCATCTGTTCCAGTTACTGTTGCTGTGTAACAAACTACCCCAAGTTTTAGTGGCTTAAATGATAATCATTTTATCATATCCCCTGAATTCTGTAGGTCAGGATTTCATGTAGGGCTTGACTGGGCCATTCTGCCTTTTATGACTTTGATTGAGGCCACTCAGTGGCATCCATCTGGTAAATGAGCTGGTCTGTCCTAGAGGGTACAAGACAGCTACACTCACATGACTGGTGATGTGAGGGCTGGAAGGCTGGGCTCAGCTGGGACTACCCACCAGAACACCTACACCAGGCCTCTCTGATTTGGTGGTCTCTTGGTAGTTAGCTGGCTTTCCCCAGAGCAAGCATCCCAAGTGGAGGCTGCATGACTTTTTCTGACCTAGCCTGAGAAGTTCACCTCATTCCTGGTTACAAGCAAGTCATAGCCCAGCTCCGATTCAAGGGAAAGGAAATTAGATTCTACCTCTTGATGGCAGAGTAGGTCAGTCACCTTGTACGAGAACACACGCAGTGGGAGCCATCATTGCAGCCAACTTGGGAAAACACAGGCTACAGCCTCCCTGGGAGAAAAGCCATCTCAGTGGAAGCAGTTGAGAAATGGAAAGAGAGCAGTCCTGATGATATTGTTTGAGTCCCTGGATCCAATTTTTCCCAGGACTTCAGTTATGACAACCATCAGTTTCCTTTCCTGCATAGTCCAATCTGAGTTGTGCTTTTGTCTCTTGCAACTGAAAGATCTTTTACTCTTAGTGTGTATATCAGTTATCTATTACAGTACAACAAATCACCCCAAAACTCAGTGGCTTACAACAATGATTATTATTTCTCACGATTCTATGGGTGGCTAGACCATTCCTCTGCTGGTCTTACCTGGCTCACTTATGCAACTGCTGAGGTGGAAAATTCAAGATGGCCTCAATTCACATGCCTGGCTGTTGGCTGGGGGCCTCAGTTCTCCTTCACGTGGTCTCTTATCCTCTAGGAGGATAGATTGACTTCTTTCTATGGTGGTCTCAGGACCGTGTTCCTGGGGAGTGGAGGTGGCAAAGTCTCTTGAGTGTCATTTCTGTCATTCCTTTGTTCAAAGCAAGTGACAAAGCCAACCCAGGTCAAAGGTGAGTAAAGAGACTCCACCTCATAACGGGAGAGCTGCCAAGAATTTGTGGCCATATTTAATCCACCACAGTACGATAGATAGCTGGATCACGTTAGATGGGGACATGTTTGAAATTAGTGTATGTATGGGAAGCAGGGTGTATGTGCCAGACAGGCAGAGCCAGAGTGTTCTAGTATGTTCTCGCTGAGGAGCATATGGCTGGAGTGTCATTTCCATGGTGGCTTCTCTGAGCTGAGGGCACCCCAGGACAAGGTCTACACTAGGTCACCGGTCCCCAGGGGCAACTCTGAGTTGAAGACCTACTGTGTCTGAGTGACTTCACCTCTCTGAGCCTCAGTTTTCCCTCTATAAAATGGGTGTGGTCATCCCTGCCTCGCAGATCAACTGTGAGGCTGAAGATGAGCTGATGACCATGAATGTGCCTTGTATATTACAGGATGGTGAACATTATCATCTGAGACCCGAGAAGGAATAGTCAAGGTGGGCCTGGGTGGTCAGAGAGGGCAGGAGGGAGGAGACTGAGATGGGGCATCGAAAGGTGGGGGACATTCACATGGGAGGGGAGGAAGGGCTGTATTTCAAGATGGGAAGCTGAGGAATCAAACTATAAAGGCATTGGGTTGGAACAGTGACAGACTGTAACTAGGATAGGGAGGAGAACAACAGGGTCAGAGAGCGAGCTCTCCCACTCCCGTAGACTCTGGGTGTCTAGGCTCCCATACATACTGGGTCAGCAGCCCCTGAGGGTTACTCAGAGCTACAGTCAAGTCTTCCAGTCCCCAGGGATCATTAGTGGCTTGTCCCTACCCAGGCCTGCAAAGGCCCCTCAGGCCGCAGGGGGGCAATGATGGGAGCATGGGAGTGGTGGTCAGAGAGCATGTTAGAGACACAGCACCCTCCTCTGGAGCCACCAGCATCATGTCAGACCCCTCCCAGTGTTCCCAAGCTCCTTTCCCCTCAGCAGGGTGGGGACCCCTGGCCTTAGGCTTGGGTCACAGTTGGCCTGGCTAAACATGGCTCCAAGCCCCTCAATCCCCTGGATAGGGGTGGAAGTGATTGATGGGTTTTAGTGTGTTCCAAGCCGGGGCTTGGAGCTGCAGCAGACTAGCCTGGCCTGCAGAAGCCCCAGGTGGCCACTCATGGCTGGTGCCGACCCATCTAGGCCAGGCCCTGGACAGTCCAGATCTGTGGCTGCCTCCCAAGCCCTGACTATCCTAAGGTCCTGGCCAAGGAGAGCAGCAGCCTCTCCCTCAAAGGAGTCCTGGGAGCACCGGGTGGGAGCGGGCTCAGATCCCACCAATCTAGCCCTGCGCAGTTCACAGCTTAGCCCCACTTGGCGACAGAAAGGGATTCTTTGATGGGGGAGGTGGGAGGACATGAGCTAGAGGGACACAACCTGCTGGGCTGTAATCAGAACCCAGGGATTCTAGCTCACAGTCCCTCAGCCTGTGCCAACCATGACAATACCCTCTGGCCACTGGGGCAGGATAGATGGGGCCTCAGTGTGAGTTCTGGGCCAAGCAAGGACACCTAGGCAGGAATCATGGCCTAAGGAGCTCCACTTTGCCAAGCCCTCACCTTATAGGCTTCCCTCCTCCCACTACAGAAAGAGAAGAGAGGGGTGCATTTGGGAGGCTGGGGAGACCTCTTTCACATACTCTGGGATTCCATAGAGTAGAGACCTTGGAAAGCAGCTGATTACCCTGACCTTGACCTCTGGTCCTCTGGTTTACCTTTCCCCACCTTCCTTTCCTGTCTACCTTGCTCTCCTTATCTAGAGTCTGTGGTCAGGTAGCTTCTCTGGCCTCCTTCCTGACCTCTGGTGAGATTCTTTGGAGCTGTCATTTCTTCTTTTCTCTCCTTTCTGCAGTGTTTGTTGTCAGCATCTTAGCAAATCTTGTAAGAGCTGGTGGGGGCCTCAGAGCTCACTCAGTCCAAACTCCTGTTACACAGGTGGGGACACTGAGGTCCAGGGTCACTTGGGTCATTGCTTGTTCAAGATCACACATCAAAATTAGCAACAGAGCCAGCACTAGGCTTTTGACTCCCCAGTTCTTGTTTTTCTCCTGTTCTTTGATCAGGCTATTGTGGCTCAGCTTTTGTCTGACCATGGACCAGCAGAGTTCTCAGGGGCTTCACTTAGTTCAGAATTTGCCTTCACTTAGTTCAGGCTAAAGCTGCTTCATGGCTTGGCTCTGATAATAATTGGACAAGACTGGGTCTACTACAGGATCTATGGGCCAAAAGCTGGGGGCCAGGAGGGAGACCAGGCTCCAAGAGGAAAAGCAAACCAGCTCTGTGCCCCAGATCTGCTTAGGGGCTGTCCCTGCTCAACATCCTTCCTCCACCATCCTCCTCTCCCCCAACAGCTCCTGTCCAGGATGATGCTCAGAGAAACAGAGCTCCTAAACCCTTGTTTGTACACACACACACACACACACACACACACACACACACACACACATTCACATAGAGAGAAAGACACAGAGGTACACACATACAGCATATACACAGGCACACACACACACAACCACACACACACAGCTCTCTGGATAAGAGTGTGCACGACTACACTGTGAGATCATTTCCATACAAGGCTCTTTCCTCTGAATGCATGGATACATCTCCTCCCTATGGCCTCCCAGTGCCCAGCCTGGAGCCTGCCCCCAAACAGGCGCTCAGTGAGGGTGTGTGGAAAGAGTGAGCTGACACTGGTGTGGAGGGCCACACGGGCCAGGCCTCCATCTCCAGGCCCTGCATGAGGCAGAAAGCCCAGCCCAGGCCAGATGAGCCTGAGACATGAGGCAGGCCTTGGAAGCTCCTGCTGTCTCCCTGGCTCACCCCTCCCCATCTTCTGCCTCCACCTGGTGCTCTCTCCTTGTGTGGTCTGTTAGCCAGCCGCATCAAAATCACCTGGGAGCTTGTTAGAAATGCAAAGTCTCGGTCCTCGCCTCAGACCTACTGAACTAGAGAGTCAGGGTGAGGGGCCCAGCATCTGTGTTTTAACAAGCCCTCCAGGGGATTCTAATACACGCTGAAGTTACAGAACTGCTGCCTGTGACGACAGGCAAACTCATGCTGCAGGGGAGGCGGGTGAAGTCTGGGAACACAAGCAGCTGCCTGTGCCACCTATGGGTAAGGCACTGCTGGTGGCACCCATACCCAAAGTCAGACACACGCACATATGAGCATCTGGCAGGATCTCAGAGAATCCACATGCAGGAGCTCCTCTCGGGTCCAATGGGTATAGGCAGGTACCCAAATGGAAGCAGGCAGGGGTAAGGAAGAACTACTCTCATCCTGTGCCCCACCACTCCTCTGTCCCTTGTCCCTCTGAGGTTCCCTGAGTGCTCCCTCAGGGGCCACAGAAGCTCAGTAGTTGCCCAACTCTGACCAAGCACCCCCAGCTGAGAGGCCAGGTGATCTGTGGCCCTAAGAGAGCTTGGGGTATGTGCTAAGGCCAGCATAGGTGGGCCAGGGCCGGGGCCATGCGGGGGATCAGCAAGCAAAGCTTAGGCAAGAGCATCCCACCTCCTGAGCTATGAAATGCTGCCCACGTGTAGAATTGCCCTTGGCCCCTTCCCAGGGCTGCTCAGTGCCCAGCCGCCTCTTCACCCATCCCTCTGCTCTGGCCTATGGAGCCCCAGGCAGCTGCCCACCTGGCCCATCCCCAGGCCCTGCGGCCTCTCCCTCTGAGAATCTGGAAGCGAAATCCGGGCCCCTGGAGTCTGCAGGGGGTGTGGGGAGGGGTGGGGAAGGCCGAGCTTCCTCAGGCTTGGATCTGGTTTCGCAGCCGCTTCCCGTGGTGCATTGCCACGGGCTGAGCCACCAGCTGTGCTATATAAGGCCCCGTGGCTGGACTGCTGGGGAGAGGAGGACCTGGACCCCCCCAGCTGAGGAGTCCCACTCAGGACACGGTGAGCCCCACTCCTATTCTCCTCAGCCCATCCCTGCACCCCACTGCCTGGCTCAGCTATTCCTGACCACCCCTTATCTCCCCCAGAGAAGACTCCCCTTTCTGCTCTGGAGTTCTCTCCTTTCTCCCATTGACCCAAGGTCTTTTCCCTCCCCCACCTGAGGATAGGGGCCCTCAGAGAGTCCCAGTCAGGATCTTTGTACCTCTGGGCACTCTGCTTTTTTCCTGCGGTCAGCCAGTCTTCTTTATCCGAGAGTTCTGGGATCCGTGGGATGGGGAGCCTCACCCGCAGAGCATATGCTGAGGAAACTTCCATGCGCTGCCAGATGGGAAATGGTTTTTCCATAAGGTGCCTCAGGCCACTTTGACTTCCCAGACAGTTGCGGAGCAATCCCAGACTGAATGCTGTGCAGGCCCGCGGGCTCAGCCCTCTGCTCAGAGCCTGGGAGCGTGGCGTGAGACACACAAGAGCTGGAGACCTCGGGGACACCCGTGCTCTGTTCTCTGGGCTGAGAAACAGGTGGTGGTGGAGTTAGTGGGCTTAGAGCTGGATGATCTGCAGCATGGGGTTGGTCTGTTCTTCTTTTGGGACAACAAAGTGCTGTTTTTTTTTTAATAAATTTATTTATTTATTTGTGGTTTTTTTGTGGGTTTTTTTTGGCTGTGTTGGGTCTTCATTGCTGCGCGTGGGCTTTCTCTAGTTGTGGTGAGCGAGGGCTACTCTTCGTTGCGGTGCGCGGGCTTCTCATTGTCGTGGCTTCTCTTGTTGCGGAGCACGGGCTCTAGGCGCGCGGGCTTCAGTAGTTGTGGCACGTGGGCTCAGTAGTTGTGGCTCGCGGGCTCTAGAGAGCTGGCTCAGTAGTTGTGGCACACGGGCTTAGTTGCACCGTGGCATGTGGGATCTTCCCGGACCAGGGCTCGAACCCGTGTCCTTTGCATTGGCAGGTGGATTCGTAACCACTGCGCCTCCAGGGAAGTCCCAACAAAGTGCTTTTGAATCTTTTTTTCCAGAAAGGAGGAATCTCCCTTTTCTCACCACACCCTGGACTTTGGAGGTTGAAGGGAATCACTTTTGAATTTCCAGGCACTGGTCAGATTCTGGGTTGGCCAGAGCTCTGGGGAGAGAGAAAATTGAGCGGGAGCCTGGGCCGCTCCCACTGCATCCTTGCCCTATTGCCAGGCCTGCTCTCCTCTCCCTGCTCCTGCAGCCCGTAACCCATGCTCAGCAGTTACTGGGGGGCCCTAGCCTCTCCCAGTGCATCCCCTCTGCTCTCCCTCAGCAGGCTCCTGAGGGAGGCCCAGGAGCAGCCAGGCCAGAAACTCCCAGCCAGGCCCCAAACAAACAGGCCAGAAATGTGTTCCAGCTGCAGCCAGTGCATATCTGGGAATGTGTTCATGGAGGCGTGTGTCTGAAGCATCTGCACCCTTCAACTGGCCAGCCCTGTGAGGCGCCACTGTAGTCGGGGCAGGGGCTGCGTAGCCTTAAGATGTAAGCCTGTTGTGTGAGAATGGGAGCCCCACCAAGGGGTAGCAAAACATGCCCCCAAGCCCGGGTCTGAGGAGTGATTAATGAGTCACCCAGAGGCTGCCGCGGGTGATCCCAGGCCCCTCCTCATTGGCAAGGAAACTTCTCACCCCTACTGTCCCTTGTGTCCCATCTCGATGTGGGACCCTGGCACCTGGACCCAGGGTTTGAATCCAGGTCTGCCTCATGTGAACTCAGAGTCTGACTCTGTGCGTCTTGCAAGCTGACCAGATTTGCAATTTGGGCAGGTGTCACTCTCACAAGACTTCATTCTGTCCACTTTTCACCCTTGATAGGTCAAGAACTAGTTCTGCTCAAGCCCTAAGAGGTGACTTAGAGAAGTGGAACCTGACAAGCTTTGTTTCTTTGCAGGTCACTGATCTGAGAAACTTCTCAGGGGTCACGTTCCAGGGACAATCCGACTCTGTGAAGGAACCCTCACTCAACTCCTGCCACGTTCCCCACGGGACCTGGAGGAAAGATGGTGGTGATCAAGGCCTGCGTGTTCTTCTTCCTGGTCCTAGAGGTCACCTCTCTGTTGGGTACAGGCTAAGTATCTACTGTCTCTCTAATCCCCCACTTGTCATAATGAAGTCACTATGGTCTGGGACCCAACTCTGCATCTGCCTTAAGCCACAGCAGCGGCACTAAGATCTGAGGCTGGTTTGTCTATTTATTCATAATTTATACCCTGCTTGTTTTCCTAAAGGATTTGAGATAAGTACCAATATTACAACTCACAGAACAGAATCTTTTAAATGAGGAGCAGGGTAAGTGTCACTCAGAAGGCAGAAAAAAGATAAGAGCGTTACCACTCCCCCTGAGTGTTAAATTTAGCTCTGAGCTTTCTGATAGCCAAAGCAAAAGGGATCACTGAGTTCTCACAGCCAGATTTTTGGTTTTAGTTTCATGAAAATTCATTTAGACCCTGTAACCAAATTTGACAGAGACACCAGAACCCCTTCTGGTCTCCTTGTCCTCTGACCCCATTCTCTGGTGACACTGAGTTCTCAAGGGAACAGGTGGAGAGAATTTGCCTGGTGGGCTCCCCAAGGCTTCTAAGCATCAGAGCTCCCAGCACTATCCTGTATACGCTCTCCCATCTCCCCTTCCTTTCCTGATTTCTAGCCACATACTCAGGTAAAGCAAAAATATGCTCAAAATCCTCTCATAAAGCAGCGAGCACTGCAGGCTTTGTCACCACAGAGGCAGGAACAAAGGCTGTCTCAGCATCTTGCCAAACCCTACATGTGCCCACCTCCTGCCTTGCTCTTTCTACCCTGACAGCTGCTGTTGGGGAAGATGATTAACATTCAGCCATCTGAGGGGAAATCAGATTAGTTTGATTAAAAGAGCTCCTATCACCCCAATTAAGCAGCAAAGAGAATACTGATTTGGCTCTCTCACGTGAGAGTTAATTACCTTTCAAAGATTTTGCAGTGCTCTGCTCTCCTTTCTCCTTTCCATTTGGGAGCCCCCAACGCAGCCTCCGGTGGCGTGGGCCTGGAGGCTCACTGCCTGTGGCCCGAGGTCCCTATACCCTTCCTCAGGCAGACTTTGCCAGCCTGGGGTCAGTAAATTAAAGGACCACTCCTCCAGTTAGGCCCTGTGAAGGTGAGGGGGGATTCCCAAAGCCAAACTTTGCCAGGAGAAGGGAAATGGACATCTATTGTCCAGGTCTTGAGCTTAAAAGGAGTTGCTAACACTTATTCAGCAAACATTCTGTGCTAGGCATTGTTCTAAGTGGATTTTATGAACGAGCTTATTTAATCCCTACAATCCTCTGAGATAGGAACTATTATTATCCTCACTTTATGATGAGGGGTCAGATGAGTTAAGTATCTGGCCCAAGGTCACAGAGTCAGGAAGTGGCAGAGTGTCTGGGGCTCACAGTCTCAATCTCCGTATACTTCAGAGATGTTTACTTTGTGTTACCTCATGGAATCCTCATGCCAACTGGACCACCATATGTGCAGTGGGAACTAATATCTCCATTTTACAGATGAGGAAAGTAAGGTTCCATTCCGCCAAGAAGAACAGGCTCAGACCCTAAAGTAGGAGCCCCAGGTGCTCAGCAGCATCCCATGGTCCCTTTCTAGAACAAGAGTGAAAAGAGAACCACCATTTGTTGACCACGCACTGCATGCCATGTCCCTTTACCTTCACCGTCACCCTGAATATGCACCAGGACCCTATGATGTGGTGATTGTTGATGCAGTTCTATTTTATGGGGAAACAGATTTAAAGGAATAAAGCTTTTGTGAAGTCACACAGCCAGTAAGTGGCAGAGGGGGATTTGAACCCATGCCCAGTGCTCATGTTCCATCCCCCACATCACACTGCTTCCCTATGTCTTGAGAGGCTAGTAGCAGGACCCTGCTGGGCCCTTGTAACTGTTTTGGCCTCTCACTTATCCTCTTGGCCCTCAGGGAGGCAGATGATGCTCACTCAGTCGGTGAGAAGAGCCCAGCCTGGGAAGAGGACCTCAGGCATCTTTGCCAAGCCTGCTGACCCCCTGGACAGTGAGTTGTGGCTGGAGCAGGGAGTAATTGGGGGGAGGGTTTTTACTGAGCTTGCTAAGAGGATCTCTGCAGCCAGGGAACAATGTCAGGGGTCCATAGAAACCTACTTTTTTTTTAAATTTTCAAAAATGTTTTATTTATAGCTATTTGGCTAATGGTCATGGTTGTAATATATATATATATTTAGATATTTTTTTTAACATCTTTATTGGAGTATAATTGCTTTACAATGTTGTGTTAGTTTCTCCTGTATAACAAGGACCTAGAGTCTGTCATACAGAGTGAAACCCACTTTTAAAAGGCATTTGGGGACTTCCCTGGTGATCCAATAGTTAAGACTCCATGCTTTCCACTGCAGGGGGCGTGGGTTCCATCCTTGCGGGGAGGAGCTAAGATCCCACATGCTGCACGGTGTGGCAAAAAAAAAAAAGGCATTTGGCCTACATCTCTGTCCAGGCAGAGGGACCAAGTATATAGGACAGCTCAGAATCATGCAGCCGCCTGATAGCTTCCAGAAATGCTATAGGGCTTGCTGGGGCCAGAGCACAGGCTGGCAGGGAGAGAGCAGGGAGATGAAGATGGAGAGATACCAGGGGCCAGCTCACCAGCACCTGAACGCCTGGTTAAGAGAGTTAAAGCCAGGAGTGATGTGGCCCAAGCCACGTGGAGAAAGCTCACCCTGACTGCAGTGTTTGGAGAGGGGTGCGGATGGGTTCGGAGGAAGCTGGAGGTAGAGACCCAGGCAGGAAGTTTCTGATGTGGTACAGCCAAGGCTGCTGAGAGCTTTAACAGAACCTTTGGTGGTAGGGTGTAAGCAGAAGTGTAAGAGATTGGAGAGATGCTGGAGAGAGAGATGCAATGAGGGCCTGAGACCAGTGAGGGGGGGTGAGGGGTATTAGGGATGACTTCCAGGGCTTGAGCTCACCTGTAGCTCCAGGTCCTGGCTCCTCTCCTACCTGGCTCTCTCTCTCAGGTCCTGGGGAGTGGACAACGTGGTTCAACATTGACCACCCAGGTGGGCAGGGCGACTACGAGCGGCTAGATGCCATTCACTTCTACTACGGGCACCAGGTGTGTCCTCGGCCCCTGCGGCTAGAGGCTAGGACCACCGACTGGATACCCGCAGGCAGCACTGGCCAAGTGGTCCATGGCAGCCCCCTTGAGGGCTTCTGGTGCCTCAACAGGGAGCAGCGGCCTGGCCAGAACTGCTTCAATTATACCGTGCGCTTCCTCTGCCCGCCAGGTGAGCCTGACCAGTCCCCACCCGCTACCTCCCACCAGCCTCGGCAAAGGGAGAGCCAGGGCCTGCGTCTGGCTATGGGAACTCTGGTGGTCACACACATCCACATGCTTTGACTCCATAATAACCCATTAGTGTCATGAGAACCATAATCTTCCCAACAGTGTTCTGTGTGGATGGGTAATTTCCTTTCGATCCACTTTACTGAGTGCCTGTGGCACAGTGGTGAAGACCACAGGCTCTGCAGTTGGGCTGCTTGGTCTGAATCTGGGCCTACCATCTCTACTGTGTTCCTTAGACAAATGTTCTGAAGCTCTCTGAGCCTCATGTTTCTCACATGTAAAACAGGGGTAATATTAGTAATCCTTCGTAGGGGTTTTTATGAGGATTAAATGAGATAATGAATGTAGAGGGTTTAATGCAGGTGAACATCCACTAAGTGTCAGTTTCTATGTTAGTTCTTCTGTGCCAGACACTGCTAGTTATCTCCATTACTCAACCTTTACAACTGACCTGTGAGGAATCTCCATTTTGACAAGTTATTCCAAGTTCAGGGAGTTTAGGTAACTTCTTGGGACGACACAGCTGATAAATGGAATGCTGGGATTTAAACCCATGCCTGTGTTTGCAGAGCCCAAGAGTTCGTGCTCTTTCCATCTCCTCTCCCCACACTGGATAATTCAGAGCCAGCTGCAGGCCTGCCCGCTTCTTGGATATGCACGCTCCCCTCCCGGGATCCCGCCAGTGCACACAGCCTGACCCTGCAGGCCCGGGAGGCAGTGGTGGTCGTCTGCAGTGGGAGCTCAGGCTGAGCAAGGTCTCCTGAGTGAGGTCCGAGGCCTCCATTCTTGTACACAGGCCTCAGACCAGAGGTGAGGAGGGTGGGCAGAGGGGGCTTGATGTCACTGAGGCCCCAGGCCCTGACTTCCCAGGGGGCCCTTCTTCAGGAACATGAGTAAAGTGTAAGATGGTGCTATCCCTGCACCTCCTAGGACAGCGCATCAAAGTCCCAGTGCTTGGCCAACAAGTCCCTCTCAGGGCCACCCCTAGCCCATTCGGTGTTTTTGTAAAACTTAGAGACACCACTTCCTCAAGACTCTTGATGTCCATCTGCTGGAAAAATCGTTACAGGAAATATAAATATCAGTGACATCTGTGATGTAAATGGAGGCCTTGCTCTCTGAGAAAAAACAGCCTCTGGGTCAGATTTCCTGACAGAGTCCCTCTGAGAGGGAAGTCAGACCATCTGCTGATCCTGCTTTGCAGGATCCCTGCGCCAAGACACAGAGCACAGCCTCTGGAGCCCGTGGTCTCCCTGGAGCAAGTGTTCTGCTGCTTGTGGTCACCCTGGGGTCCAGACCCGAACACGCACCTGCTTGGCGGAGACGGTGTCACTGTGCAATGATGCCACCGAGGAGGGTCGGCTCTGCATGGAGCAGGCCTGTTCAGGTACTACCCCTGCTCTTGGTACTGGGCAGGCATGGGGCTGGGGCTGAAGCAGCCTAGAATAGTTTAGAGGGTCAGACTGAGACAGATTCATCCATTCATTCATCAGGTATTAAGTGAGCATCTATTACGTGCACCGATGGGGGATGTAGAGGATAATGTGGGAGCATAGTGCATGGTCAATTATTATAGCTTAGGGGAATGGAGGAAGCCTTTCTAGAGGAGGTGTCCTGAACTAAGTCTTGAAGGATGAGTCGGAATTAGTCATGCAGGCTGATGAGGAAGGGTAACAAAGGCCTAAGGGGGAGAGGAAGCATATGTGAGTCCACAGGCTGGGACGTGACTGAAGGAGGGCCACAATCCACACACGCCCTCCTGATGTGGCCCCTTCTTCCACAGCCTGTGACCTGACCTGCCCCATGGGCCAGGTGAATGCTGACTGTGACGCCTGCATGTGCCAGGACTTCGTGCTGTATGGGGTTGTCTCCCTCCCTGGGGGTGCCCCAGCCTCAGGAGCTACTGTCTACATCCTGACCAAAACACCTAAGCTATTGACCCAGACGGACAGCAGCGGGAGGTTCCGAGTCCCTGGCTTGTGCCCCGATGGCAAAAGCATCCTGAAGATCACAAAGACCAAGTTTGCCCCTATCAGGCTCACAATGCCTAAGACTAGACTGAAGGCAGCCACCATCAAGGCGGAGTTCATGAGGGCAGGTACTTAACTTCTCTGGGATAGGGCTGGGGAGGAAGGCTGGACTTTTAAATAAAAGGATTACAGTACTAAGAGCTGGCTTTCCAGGTTGCCCAGAGTAAAACTGAAAAATCCCCAAGTCCCAACATCATCTGCCAGACCCCCCCATTCCTTCTCTTCTCTCTTCCCCTCTCCTCTCCTATTATAGTCCCCTCCACCCACACTGAGTCACTCTACTCCTATCCGTTCCTCAAACACACAGGCACACTCCTGCCTCAGGGCCTTTGCACTTGCTATATACTCTGCTTGTAGTGTTCTTCCCCCAGATATTGGAATGGCTTGCTCCCTCAAATGTATGAGTTCTTTCCTGGTCACCTTATCTAACATAGTCAATTACAATACAGTATAACGTTTGAAAGGCATAGAGAGAGAGGCTGGGGGAATTCAGAAATGGTGCAGAATGGCCAGAAAATTCTGCTGGAGTCCGCAGAGCAGCCAGCTCTGTCTCAATGGCAGTGTTTGGGAATCTTGGCTGGTACAAGGTCCTCTTGGTTCTCCACTGCCTCACCCAGATGCTGCCTGAGAGGCCATGGGAGCAGGTCCCAGGCTGAGTAGATGGAGGAAGTGGACTCCATTCTGGACCAGCTACTTATTAGGACCATTAGAGAGGGGCTGGGTGGTGTGTGTGAAGTTGTACAATTTTAACGCATGTCAAAATACCTGAGGGAGCAAGGCTCTGGAGAACCTGTCACAAAGAAAAACCCAAAACACCATGTCTCATCTTCTGTCTCAGAGACTCCATACATTGTGATGAACCCCAAGGCAAAAGCACGGAGAGCTGGGCAGAGCGTGTCCCTGTGCTGTAAGGCCACGGGGAAGCCCAAACCAGACAAGTATCTCTGGTGAGTATTCTGCCAGCTACCTGGCCCAGTTCTCCTCTTGGAAGCCAGAGCTTTCTTGCATTGGGTCTGGACTTATTAGTCATGGCAATAATTAACAAGTGGGGGCCAGCAGGGCTGAGGCCACCCAGACAACGAGCAAGCCCTGTTGTTGTCCTATCAAAGCTGGGGTCCCCCAGAGCAGCTCTGGTCTTGGGGTCCTGACTCATATCCTTGGGCCACAGAACCAGGTTCCCCAGCCCTAATTTCCCAGACAAGGGCAAACAAGGTCAGTGTCCCCAGTGGCTGTCCTTTACCCTTCACAAACATTTTATAGCCATCATCTTGTTTGACGCTCTCAACAATTCTATGGAGTCAGCTAGGCATCACTGCTCCTATTTCATAGAACAGGAAGCTGAAACTCAGATGTGAAATGGTTTGTCTAAGGGTCCATAGCCAGTTAGTGGTGGGGCTGAGACTCAGAATCGAGTACCCTGACTCCCAGGCCAGTCAGTGTTCTTGAATGAGCTGAGTCAGTGGTGGTGTTGGCATCTGCAGGGACCCGTCCACCATCTATCTGCCTTGCTTCTGGCACTGTCCCCAAGGATACCAGCCCTCCTACTGCCCCCTCAGGCCGTCCCTCTCCATCCCTTTCAGGTACCATAACAGCACACTGTTGGACCCCTCCCTCTACAAGCACGAGAGCAAGCTGGTGCTGAGGAACCTGCAACGGGACCAGGCCGGGGAGTACTTCTGCAAGGCCCAGAGCGACACTGGGGCTGCAAAGTCCCATGTCGCCCGGCTGACTGTCATAGGTAAGACTGTCAGGGCCCCTGGGGAGCCCCTGCTGCAGCACTGGGGAGCACTCCAGTGGGCATTCCTGGGCAGTAAAACCTTGGGCTTTTCTAGACTGTGCTCTCTGGGACACAAAGATGGCACAGACCTCGATCCTACCCTCACAGAGCTGCCACTCCAGGATGGGTGGAGAAATAAGAGACAAGTCAGTAAAGATGAAAAAATGTAGTTAAAACAGGAGATAAGGAATTGTGGACTCTATAGATGAGAGACAGAGACCTTCCAGGTGGGAGTGACTATGGCTGGTTGCTTGAGGCTTAAATAGGGATCATCTGTTGAGTTTTTTAAACTACTGACGCCTGGGTCTTACCTCCAGAGAGCCTGATTTCATTGGTTTGGGATGTGGCCTGGTCATGCACAGGTTAAAATCTTCCCCAGGTAATTCTAATTTGCAGCCAATGTTGTGAATCCCTGGTCTTAAACAATGGCCAGGGTCTGTGTGTATGGAGATGGGAGCATTCCAGATCAAGGGGCCAGCATGAGCAAGGTATAGAAGTGGGAAACTGAGGGGGCTTTACAAGAAAGGGTGACCTGATTAAAGCTGGTTTCTAGAAGTGAGCTGGAGGAGGAGAGACTGGAGGCCGAGACCAATCAGGAAACTGTACTTGGAAAGTGAGGGAGAAGGAGGATATCTTAGTAATTGGCCTAAACAAAACCAAACAAAAGGCAGAAGAAATTTTGTTGGAAGGATTTTGGAATATTTCAGACTCCAAGAAAGTTGAGTAACACACCTCGGGACAGGCAGGACACAGGGGACTTGACTCCTGGCAGAGGAGATGTGGAGAACTGTCAGCAGTGGTTCCCCGCTCATTATACCAATGCTCCCCGCTTGTCACAGTTATTCTTTCTTTCCTTTTTTTTTTCAGTTATTCTTAATACTTTAAATTTTAAATATTTTCAATTAAAATATTTTTTACTATTCTAAAGTTAAATTTATAGATAATAACTACATATAATTTCCAAATATACATGCACATGGCCCTAATAACATAAAAGGGAAATACAAAGAAAATAATTTTAATACAAAATAGTATGTATTTCAATATGCAAGTGCTTTGGCATAATGACACAAGAACATCAACCAAGAGGTCAGGTACTTGCACTTGAATCCAGTCACCATGAATGTGGCAGCTACAAATGCTGATGGATACAGGGGCGTCATTTCACATTCCTTGGGCAGTTGTTGTAGGTACATGATTTTTCTGAAACAAGAAGCAATTCTTGGTATTTTTCCAAGCTAAACAACGTACAATCTTAGCTTGACTTATATGGTAGTTGCATTCTTGAAAAATTCAATGTATGGTAAAGCCATGTAAAAAATACCAGGCTCCAATAATTTTAAACAAGTTTTCCACCTACATGAATGTCTGTAGAATACGTGAAAGTCAACCAGGATGCAGAAGAATTCCGTATGAGAGAGAGTGTCAGGCACTGCAGAAAATAGAGCTGCAAGGCCCCCTGCCCACTATAAGTCAGTAGCACTGCCAATTTTGGTGGTAACTCAAAACACCCTCACGAATTTTCAAGACCCCTCCAATTAGGACGATTACTCTACTGGTCTCAGCAGCAAACTCTGTTCCCTGTGTGTGAAATGGAATTAGTAACAGCTGTTCTATCTCCCTCAGAGGAGTTTTGTGAGAGTTGGGATCACACAAGTACTTTGAAAACCCTGAAGTATGGCAGAGAGGGGAGGTTGAGGTCCCCTTTATGTAGGAAAAGAACTTGCATTTAATATCCGAACTATTTCCCTCCATAGCCCCCGATGAGACTCCTTGCAACCCAACCCCCGAGAGCTACCTTATCCAGCTGCCCCATGATTGTTTCCAGAATGCCACCAACTCCTTCTACTATGATGTGGGTCGTTGCCCTGTCAAGACCTGTGCAGGGCAGCAGGATAATGGGATCAGGTGCCAGGATGCTGTGGAGAACTGCTGTGGGATCTCCAAAACAGAGGAGAGGGAGATCCAGTGCAGTGGGTACACACTGCCCACCAAGGTGGCCATGGAGTGCAGCTGCCAGCGGTGTACGGAGACCCAGAGTATCGTTCGGGGACGCGTCAGCGCCTCTGACAATGGGGAACCCATGCGCTTTGGCCACGTGTACATGGGGAACAGCCGTGTGAGCATGACTGGCTACAAGGGCACGTTCACCCTCCACGTCCCTCAGGACACTGAGAGGCTGGTGCTCACATTTGTGGACAGGCTGCAGAAGTTTGTCAACACCACCAAAGTGCTGCCCTTCAATAAGAAAGGGAGTGCGGTGTTCCATGAGATCAAGATGCTTCGGCGGAAAGAGCCCATCACCTTGGAGGCCATGGAGACCAACATTATCCCCTTGGGAGATGTGGCTGGTGAAGATCCTGTGGCTGAGCTGGAGATCCCATCCAAGAGTTTCTACCGGCAGAACGGGGAGCCCTACACAGGAAAAGTAAAGGCCAGTGTGACCTTCCTGGATCCTCGGAATATTTCCACAGCTACTGCTGCCCAGAGTGACCTGAACTTCATCAATGATGAAGGAGACACCTTCCCCCTTCGAACATACGGCATGTTCTCTGTGGACTTCACAGATGAGGCCACCTCAGAGTCACTTAATGTTGGCAAGGTAAAGGTCCACCTCGACTCAACCCAGGTCAAGATGCCAGAGCACTTGCCCATGATGAAACTCTGGTCCCTCAACCCAGGCACAGGGCTGTGGGAGGAGGAAGGTGACTTCAAATTTGAAAGCCAAAGGCGGAACAGAAGAGAAGACAGGACCTTCCTGGTGGGCAACATGGAGATTCGTGAGAGGAGGCTCTTTAACCTGGATGTCCCTGAAAGCAGGAGGTGCTTCATCAAGGTGAGGGCCTACCGAAGTGAGAGGTTCTTGCCCAGTGAGCAGATGCAGGGTGTCGTGGTCTCTGTGATCAACCTGGAGCCCAGGACTGGCTTCTCCTCTAACCCCAGGGCCTGGGGCCGCTTTGACAGTGTCATCACTGGTCCCAATGGGGCCTGTCTGCCTGCCTTCTGCGATGACCAGTCCCCCGATGCCTACTCTGCCTACGTCTTAGCAAGCCTGGCTGGGGACGAGCTGGAAGCAGTGGAGTCTTTTCCTAAATTCAACCCAAATGCAATTGGTGTCCCTCAGCCCTACCTCAACAAGCTCAAGTACCGCCGGACAGACCATGAGGACCCACAGGCCAAGAAGACAGCTTTCCAGATCAGCATGGCCAAACCAAGGCCCAACTCAGCCGAGGAGAGCAATGGACCCATCTATGCATTTGAGAACCTCCAGGCATGCGAGGAAGCACCTCCCAGTGCGGCCCACTTCCGGTTCTACCAGATTGAGGGGGATCGGTATGACTACAACACGGTCCCTTTCAACGAGGATGACCCCATGAGCTGGACTGAAGACTACCTGGCATGGTGGCCCAAGCCAATGGAGTTCAGGGCCTGCTATATCAAGGTGAAGATCGTGGGGCCACTGGAGGTGAACGTGCGATCCCGTAACATGGGGGGCACCCACCGGCAGACAGTGGGAAAGCTGTATGGAATCCGGGATGTGAAGAGCACGCGGGACAGGGACCAGCCCAATGTCTCAGCTGCTTGTTTGGAGTTCAAGTGCAGTGGGATGCTCTATGACCAGGACCGTGTAGACCGCACGCTGGTGAAGGTTATCCCCCAGGGCAGCTGCCATCGAGTCAGCGTAAACTCCATGCTGCATGAGTACCTGGTCAACCACCTGCCACTGGCGGTCAATGACAACACCACTGAGTACACCATGCTGGCGCCCTTGGACCCACTGGGCCACAACTATGGCATCTACACTGTCACTGACCAGGACCCTCGCACAGCCAAGGAGATTGCGCTTGGCCGGTGCTTTGATGGCACATCTGATGGCTCCTCCAGAGTTATGAAGAGCAATGTGGGAGTGGCCCTGACCTTTAACTGCGTAGAGAGGCAGGTGGGCCGTCAGAGTGCCTTCCAGTACCTCCAAAGCACCCCGGCCCGGCCCTCCCCCGCAAGCACTGTCAGGGGAAGAGCGCCCTCAAGGAGGCAGCGGTCAAGTCAGGGTGGCCAGCGCTGGCGCAGAGGGGCGGCCTCTCTGAGGTTTTCTGGGGTTGCTCAGCAGCCTCTGAGCAACTAAGGCTTGTGGTACTTCCCTTCTCCCCACAGCCATTGTGAGACTGACACCCAAACTGTCACTCGGTTAACTTAAGCCCATCTGTTCCGGTGCAACTTGCTCGTTTGTTTCTTCATTCCCTTTCTTACTGTCTTTGTCTTGTGATACTGATTGGCATGGAGCCCCCAAAATGTCAAAATAAAGCCTCTTTGCCCTGTTCTTTACAAGAAACACAGGAAATTGGCCATGGGCAAACTCTGTAGCTTTGAGCATTCTTCATTTAGTGCCATTCATGGAAATGTCCTTCATTTTCTTTTTTGCATGGTTTTCCCACCTCTACAATAAGGATAATCTGATGTTGAAGATCAAATAACCAATATAAAGCATATTTCTTGGCCTTGCTCCACAGGATGTAAGCAAGGCCTCCGTCACAGTTCATACATATAAAAGGTGGTGAAATATTTTTACTTGAATTATAAATAACATTTATTTCTTTGCTGAATCTGGAACTCTAGTGCACATTCAGTGTTACACTGTTGAGTATAAGGTAATCATAGTTCCTCTACCAAGTCTGGAAAAAACATCTCCTGGTATCCACAACTGCCCTAGGTTGCTAATTATATTAGCGTGTTTCCCTTTATATTTGCTTTTGTTCTTTCTAGAAGCCCAGTGTGGCCCAGAACAGATGTCAATAAATGCACATTTTGTACTTGATTTTGAGGTCACTGACCTGTCTTTAAACCATTAATCTGAGCCAACTGCTCAGAGGGACAGAGGGGTCTCTGGAAAGTGGTCACCAGGTGGCATGAGGCACGGTGCCACCTAACCCTAAGTTACAGGGCTGGGTGACTAGGCACGTATTCTACTGGTCAAGTTTGTTCTCATAGATCATATTTTCCATTTGCAGAGAAGAGCAGAGATTCCTGGAGTTGTGAGCCCCTCCCAGATGTTCTGGGCCCCTGAGCAAAGCTGAAAACATGTCCTGATTTTTTTTTCCTTTCTTTCATTCCAGTACTGGGGAGCTTATACAGTGGCTTGGCCCAGGGTCTGGCAAGCTGGCCCAGTGGTCCTTTGGCATTCCCCCACAGCCTGCTGCCTTCTCCAGCTGGGCTGGCTGACCTCACTCAGAAGTGATGGGCTTTTTCTTTTTTTATTCCAAGCTCTTCTAAAGTTCCCCAGCTTTTCCGGACACCAGCCTCTGTGTGTAACAGCCTCTGGCAGGTAACAGCCTCTGTCCCTTGAGTAAAATGACTGGATGACTGATCCAAAAGGACAGGGTTTTTTTGTTTTTGGAAAAGGTGTTTGGTTTAAAACAGTAAATCAGAGGCCACTGGCTGGTGCCAAAGTGATCTTGGAGGCATCAGTAGCCAGGGATGTAGGGTTGAGTAAGATGCACTGATTGCCTCTTTCCCAACCTCTCCAGAATCTATTAGGAAAGAGGCCAAGGGGATTGGGGGAGGAGAGGGCATCATTTACAATCAGGACAAAAAGCTCTCCTTGATCCCCTGGCTGGCCCAGTGCATTTCCTCCTGGCCACCTCTGGTCTGGCCTGGATTTGTACTCTTGGATCAGCATCTGCCCAGCTCCCAGGGGTTTGGTTCATAATCAATTAGAAATTTCTCTGGCTAAGCACCACATCCCCATGACCTCTGAGAAAGTGTGTGTATGTAGGGCTGGGGCCTAGTGGCCTTTGATTGCTCCTTGACCTACTTCCAGACTATGCTTCCCAGGGAGTGGCTCCCACTGACCGCATGGGTTGGGGGTTGGGAAGCTTGACTGAAGGGGTCTGTGTTCAGCTATCTACAGCACAGATGCCTCGCTGCTTCGGGAGTGAGTATGTGCTGCTTCGACCTGACCATCCAGTTCCCTTCAAACTCACCAAAAGAGGCCACTGGGAAAGGTGGGCTGACTGGGCTCCCAACTTATGGCCTTCCCTTTCTGTTCTCCGTTGAGGGCCTGAATAAATAGATCCCAGCAAGCAGTAGCTGGTACTTGATTTGTCTTTCTTCAGTCATCAAACATTTATTGAGTGCCTATTCTATGCAAGCCCATGTGTGCAAGTAGACAGGCCTTCATGAGTATATAAAATATAGTACACATAGTGGCACCAGATTTGGAGGGGACGGTGGTCAGAGGAGGCTTCTTAGAGGAGGTGACATTTAATCTGAGGTGTGAATGATAGCTAGGAGCTGGCTTGCTGAAGGTGTGGCTGTCAGGAGCAAGGGGCACAAGCTTGTGCAAAACCAGGAGGTGGAGGCTGGGAAGCGATGGCAGATACCTCTCTTTTCAGACAGGAAACGCTATTGAGTTGAGCTCATGACACCTACTTTCTAAGCTTCTTGCTTCCAAAGACAGTTGTGCTCCCTGCTAGCTGTCTGACTTTGGTTGTCATTTTCCTCACCTATAAATGAAGGGGTTGGGGAACTTCCCTGGTGGTCCAGTGGTTAAGACTCTGCACTTCCACTGCAGGGGGCTCAGGTTCGATCCCTGATTAAGATTAAGATCCCGGGCTTCCCTGGTGGCGCAGTGGTTGAGAGTCCGCCTGCCAATGCAGGAGACACGGGTTCGGGCCCCGGTCCAGGAGGATCCCACATGCCGCGGAGTGGCTGTGCCCGTGAGCCATGGCCGCTGAACCTGCGCGTCTGGAGCCTGTGCTCCGCAACGGGAGAGGCCACAACAGTGAGAGGCCCGCGTACCGCACAAAAAAAAGATTAAGATCCCGCAGGCTGTGCGGCACAGCCTAAATAAATGAATAAACAAATAAATAAATGAAGGGGTTGGTTGTACACCTAAAACTAATACAATGTTATGTGTAAATTATATCTAAATTATCAGTAAATAAATAGGAAAAAATTTAAATGAAGGATTTATCTAGATTGAATCTAAACCACCTCTAAAGTCCTTTTCATGATTTTCAGTGAGGCTAAGAGCACAGTTCCCAAGATGCTTTTGCTTTAACAAACAGCTGATGATTCATTGGGTGTTCCCTTCCCCTGTGGAGACTCTGCAGACTGGATGGACAAAATGTTCAGTTCAAAAAAGCCCCGGGTTTTTGTCTCAGACTGCTGTGCACTGGCTGATAACTCAGTTACTGAGAGTGAACTGTAAGAAGACAGACACCAGATGGCAGGGAGGAAGGGCACAGGCAGGAAGACAGAGGGGCCAATCAGGCTGCTTCTGTTTCCAACCAAGGACGTTCCAGGCAGAATGCTCTCTACAGTTGGGAGAGTTCCGGCAGCTGAGTTGGTAGAGAAAAATGTCACCGAGATCTCTCAGTCTTGAAGGATTGAGAGAACTTAGACAAGCCAAGTTGGAAGCAGTGCAGGATAGGTGGAGTTCCAGGCAAAGGGATCAGCTAGAGCTAAGGGAGTAAAGATGGGACCGCACAGTGGAATACTTTTGGTTATAAGTAACAGGGGTACCAGCAGACATCAGGAAGGACCAGAACCAGGAAATGCAAAGCCATCAGAATCTAGGCTATCATTCTCAAGCTGATTATGACTTATGGCAATTTGGTAAATTATACCTTTGTAAATAGAACTGAAACATGTCTTTTCTCTCTACCTGATCCCTCCAGAAATTGGAATCTCTTAGTTTCCCAGCAACATTATCAGGCAAATAAGGATGGCTACCTGCTAACAGGTACAGGAGTCTCAAGGTACTTGGGGGGAAATGAGAGGAATTCACCAAAATCTATAGATATCACAGGTGGAATCTGTGACAAGCCCTTGGTATGGCTTTCCTGCTCCTGAGAGGCCTTTTAAAAGCTTAATCTGAGGGACTTCCCTGGTGGTGCAGTGGTTAAGAATCCGCCTGCCAATGCAGGGGACACGGGTTCGAGCCCTGGTCCAGGAAGATTCCCACATGCCGAGGAGCCGCTAAGCCCATGCACCACAGCTACTGAGCCTGCACTCTAGAGCCCACGAGCCATGACTACTGAGCCCGCGCGCCTACAGCCCGTGCTCCGCAACAAGAGAAGCCACCACAAGGAGAAGCCCACGCACCGCAACGAAGAGTAGCCCCTGCTTGCCGCAACTAGAGAAAGCCCACACGCGGCAACGAAGACCCAACGCAGCCAGATAAATAAATAAATTTATTTTAAAAAAGTAATCCTCAAAAAAACCCAAAACAAAACAACAGCTTAATCTGAAATTCCATATGAAAAGTTCCAGCACAGCCAAGTTAAAAGAGCCTACGTGATCAGTTACACTTATGTAAATAATCAGGCTAAGTTTATAAAAACCAGACTTATTTCGCAAACAAATTAGTCTGAATTTGACTATATTTGGTAGAAATGAGGGTAATTTTAGAAAAAAATATGTTTCAGTAGATATTAAATTCTAGTTTTGTTAATTGAGGTCTGTATTTACTGCTAAAGACTCACTTCTCAGATGACTCCTTTTTGCTATGTTATATTATTGTAAAGTTTATTTCTGAAGCTTATCACAGTCATCTATCTTTGGATGAAGATCAGATGTGTCTCCTGCAACCAGGGGATAATGCATACTGGAAAAGACATCAGATAAAGGACTCTTTACAGCCATGTTGAAAGGTACCATATCAAGCCTTCTCTCCTGAGTGAACGGCAACTCCTGTTTCTAACACCCAACTTTGACTAACTAAGACAAACACTACCAGACCAGGACAAGAAGAAGATGAAATCTGAAGTAGACAGCTGACCCAAGATGCCAGACCAGGCCTGTATACTAATTACTTAGACAATTGCTCACACTTTTGCTTTTTAACCAAATGTATTTTTTCCTTGGGCCCAATCATTTGCAAGTTTCAAAACATCAATCCAATTTCTGGGTTTGTGGCCAATTACCTATGTCCAGTACTCCTAGGTTACCTTGGTGGATTTTCCTCTCCAAAGGCTCTAATTGGATGGCTCTTAGCAGTTGTATTTTAGAAGAAAGAAACTCTAGTACCATGCAAGCTAATTTTACTGCCAATATCACTAAGTGGGACCCTCTTAGCCAATTAATGACAACTGTTCTGAACCTGGTCAAAAGTAATCCTTTTCACTAGATGTTGAATATTGGGTAGCTCCTAACAGGATCCAGTGAATTTATGGAACAAGTTTATGGCCTTGGCTCTCGCCAGGTTGGCTAGGAAGATGCACAGTTGGTTTCCCTTGGGCTCAAGGTCACCTACAGGTAGTCTTGGAAACAACCCCTGCAATCGGCCTTTATCGTGAGCACACTGGGTTCTATCAGTTTTCCAATGGTATGACCATTTGGCTGAGATATTTGTTAACTCATCTTATGACACATGAAGAATCAAATTTCTGCTCTGAATGGTCCTCTTCCCAGTTTAGGAAGAATACTGGGAAAATGGTTTGGTTTAGGAGGATCTTGGCTTAAACATTTACTAATGACATTGTTACTGCTCCTGTCAATTTTGATCACATCTACAGTTCTCTGTAAATTAATGAACACTCACAGTGCACAAGCAAGATTAAATTGGCATAAATCATATTGAACAACTTGGAATTGACCATTAGTCCTTGCCAGACATCTTACCAATACAACCCCCTAAAAAAAAAGAAAGAACAGAGCTATTAAGACCTGACATCAAGGGACATGATAGACCCAGGGCAGATAAGCAACCACCCTGACATTGAGGGAACAAATATTTGATCATCTAATGCTTTCTATCTAAAGATTAATTATCAAAATGGGAAAATTGATTAAATAAAATTCATATTTTGTGGCAGGATGAGAAAAATTTAAACATAAAAATTTTCCTTGCCCATTGGGGCCTCTACCTTCCTCCCCTTTAGTGCATATTGTTTATTTGCATTATCCAGACCTCCTTATGAGTTAACATTCCTCTTTAATCTTATAAAAGGTCACAACCCCTTAGGAGATAACCTTCCTTCTTAACCTTGTAAGGGGCCACAATGAACGACCCATGACCCACGCTTTCTACTGTGGATCTGGATTGTGTACACTGTCAGTAATACATCATTTGACATATAAGCCTTTGTCTCAAAACCATATAACTGTTCTTTAACCTCTAACAGGCATAACAGTCCTCAGAGCTTTCTGAAAGACTCTCTTGGGATATAATCCTCAGGTTGGCTTAAATAAAAATTCCCATTTCTTCCTCAGATTGACTATTGATGATTTTTTTATTGACAATATAAAACCAATCAATTAAAAAACAGGTTAGATTCAAATTGGTTTTCTGGCTGATGGAACAAATCAAGGTCATCTGTCTAGATGGCTAAACCCTTTTTTACTAATATTTATAGAGAAGACACTTAAGATGTGTATCTGTCCTTGATAAATCAAGTTTCAAACTATCTTTCCTCCAATCTTTAAATAAGAATTACCTTCTGAAATTTGCCTTTTAAAAAGATGGCCTGAGATAAGAGTTCCTGGAGAAGACCAGGTAGAACATTTTCATCTCAAAGGCCTGGGAGGAGAAAGGCAAGTTCCTTCCAGGAGGACTTTTTTTCCCTTAAGGCCAGAAATTGTTTCTTTTTGCCTTTTTTTTTTTTTTTTTTAAATTTTGGCTGTGCCAGACTTCCCTTGTGGTGCAGTGGTTAAGAATCCACCTGCCAATGCAAGGGACATGGGTTTGAGCCCTGGTCCAGGAAGATCCCACATGCCGTGGAACAACTAAGTCCATGCACCACAACTACTGAGCCTCCACTCTAGAGCCCATGAGCCACAACTACTGAGCCTGTGTGCCACAACTACTGAAGCCTGCATGCCTAGAGCCCATGCTCTGCAATAAGAAGGAAGGTTATCTCCTAAGGGGTGTGACCTTTTATAAGATTAGGAAGGAATGTTAGGCAATTCCCTGGTGGTCCAGTGGTTAGGACTCTGTGCTTCCACTGCAGGGGGCACAGGTTCAACACCTGGTCAGGGAACTGAGATCCTGCATGCCACGTGGCATGGCAAAAAGAAAAAGAAATGTTATCTTGTAAGGAGGTCTGGTTAATGCAGATGTACAATACACACTAAAGGGGAG